CTAAGCAAAAATGAATTTTGAAAATTTTGACCCTAAGCGTTCAGTTTTCGCTGGTTGACGCCCATATTTTACAGACTGCAAGTGTTGAGTTTCGGAGAGAAAAGAGCAGTACGTGGCATGTGGCTCGAATTTCCTAATATTTTACAGACAGCCCCTAATTTAAGAAAAAGGTCATATTTTCATACTTCGGTCTTCAAAGTGGCTCAATTTGATTGGTGAAAAAGGTTTAAAAAAAACACACACACCAGAGAGTTCTTTCTTTGCTTGATAATACCTCCCGAGCGATATAAAAACAGATGTCAATGTGTCTCCCTGATGTACCAGCCTGCTATGCCGGACACCACTAACCATGCTGTATTTTGCTACCCGCCTACCACAGATGTTCAGTGTATTATGTCTCGAAACAACCTGACACCCATCACAATCCGTTTCTCCCTTATTTAAACTGTATCTTCTTGTATTCAGATGCGTTCATTCTTCTGCCAGTGCACTTCTATGCCGCTTTTTTGCCTTTGTGCCAATTATGAGGCACGTAGCCGCACCTGCACAAGGTCTCAAGACTGTCTTGGACTTGTACTGCCACAAGCCTCCTCTCAATTTGGGTATTCGTCTCTTTCTTTTTTAGCCTCTGACCGCTGGAACTCAGTTCCAGCATCGGTCCGCATTGCTGCTTCACCAAGTAAATTTGGTATCGCAATCCTAGATTGGCTAGGGTACCCTGTAAGGAAACCATAGGTCTGTGGGGACTGCCCTAGAGAAATAAGGATAAATACTAATATTGCACAACACTGGCCAACGGTAATGGCGTTCTACACCTAACTGGCAATCAGCTCTAGGACATCTTGGACGCGCACTTCAACAGCCTTCCAGCTTGGAAGGTTCTAATGTTATTGTATGTGCAATGTTATCGCATGAGCTGCTGATTGGAAAGTAACTGCTGGTGTTACTGTTATAGTGGACATTATAGCTTAAATTGTAGTTCCTTGGTCCTCACTTCTTCTTATACATTAATCCTTGTCTCTCCACCCGAGTCTAAATAATAATTAACACAAGCATCTGCATGCCGCACTCACACAATGAGCAACCAGTTTGGGGAAGAGGAGGGTTTGTCAATTGCTTTGCCAGGCTCTGAGTGAGTGACAGCTTAGAGCTGTGTGAATATGTGTGTATGGCAGCTGGGCAGGGCCCTGCTGCGGAGGCTGAGTGAGCCGTATGGAGGCAGCCGGGCAGGGCCCGGCTGCAGAGGCTGAGTGAGCCGTATTGAGAGGTTGAGTGAGCCGAGGCTGAGTGAGCCGTCTGAGTGTGAGAGGTTGAATGAGCCGTATGAGAAGCCTGGTAAGCAAGGTTGACTCCCCAAATAGAGAACCTCCTATTCACTGTTAAACTGTAGAGGGGATGCCACAGACTGTGGACAATAGTGGAGTGATATTGAGTTACTGAGTGTACAATTGGTACATTGGTGACATTCAGTTATGCTCTGGCACCGACAATAAGTGAGCTCAGTCTGTCTGATCAGCGCTTACCCAGGGCCGGTGCTGCCAGCTTTCATGGCAGTTTGCATGTGGACTTCCGTCACGCGGCAGTGCAAGGCACGGCCGAAGTCTCCCCAGGAATGGACGGAAGACCACGCATGGGAGTGGGCATGTGATCGGCGGTAGGGTGGCACGAATGGAATCGCTTGAAATCTTGCCGGGAGAGAGCGTCAGCAAGGATGTTGGTAGTTCCAGGTATGTGACGGGCGGTGACCGTAAAGTTACCCTTGGCGCAGATGAAGAAGAGCTGCCGTAGGAGTGACATCACATTAGGGCAGCGACTGGTGCCAGACTTTAGAACAGCGGCGACAGCTTCGTTGTTGGTATGGAAGCGGATATGCTTGCGACACCACTGGTGGCCCCACGTAGCACATGCAATGCAGATGGGATACAGCTCCTTGAACGTAATGCAGAGAGGAGTGTGTTGTGGTGACCAGGTGTCAGCAAACCAATGCGTGCCGTAAACTGCGCCGTGCCCGATGGCGCCAGATGCATCAGTTTCTATCAGGATGTCGCTGGCCAGCGTCTCCTGGAGATCGAGGAAGAATGACTTGCCATTCCAGCCATCGAGTAGGTGAGACCACCAAAGCATGTCCAGATGACATTCCGGAGAGAGGCTGATGCGGTGGTAGGGCTTGGAAACGTTGCGTGTGGCATCATACAGTCGGCGCATGAATGTACGGCCCAGCGTTATGACGCGGCTGGCAAAGTTCAGCTTGCCCAACAGCTGTTCAAGCTCCCGTAGACGGCAGGATTCGCGTTGGCGAACGGCCACTAGTATGGAGCGGATGTCGTCAACCTTGTCCTGTGGGAGACGAGCCACTTGAGAAAGAAATCCACTGCCAATGCAGACACAGCAAGAACTGAAATCAGGAACAGTGGACTTCGGAGAACAATGAGCGTGTGAGAGTTTGTTGGGAACAGAGCATGCGCCTTCTGTGTTAACATATTTTTGTGCATGCGCAAAAATCATTAAAAAATAATAATGCATCGACTAAGCGCCACACGGCTGTTAGCTGCACTTGGATCGCGGCAACTTAGTTTTCTGCACGTGAACCATGCGAAATCAATGCATGCTCATGCATAACCAGTCAGCTGGCCTGCTCGCCCAAGCATTTGACAGGTATCACTTCCATCAAATTTGAGATATCGCTTCGTTCTAAGTCTCAAAACAGTTCTAAAGTCACCAAACCACGCTGGTAATCGATGGCTATTCAATGTTAACATCTTCAGAAGACTTCAGCCGTTTCCGGAGAGTTTGGGCATCGTTGCCGTTATTTTCCATGGTGTTCTTCTTCCTCCTGTCTGGAGCTGCAATTGCATCCTGGAATTATTTGAAAGGTATTTCGTGCGGGCTGTTGGGGTTCCAACAGGCATAAACTGAAATTGTTATAGGATAACTGGTAACTTTCACCCTTCAAGGAGGTAGAGCAATGAAATTTTTTGTGGCGGTCGTCCAATTTTTGTGGCGGTCGTGGCTGTATTTGTGCACTTCCGAGGCTTTCATTCTGCCTGATACTACTCTCTACCGTATTGGAATCGTTGTTTAGGCACCTGTAGCTGTCTTGTTTGGCAGATCTGCTGTTTTCAGTCACTTGGGACACTTTGTCTAGCCTATTTGTCTTTCGTTCGTGCCATCTATCAGTTTTGTGGGGTGCCTATTGTAGGCCTGCATTTACGAAGTTCTCGAGTAAGACCCTAATTCTTGACTGGAGTCATGACTTGAATTGTATTTGCTCGGCGAGCCCTCGTTCACGCAGTTGTCCTTATCGTAATAGTCAATATTTGCTTGCTGGGCGGACTAGCGGCTAGAATAGGTATAACCGAATGATCCAAGTGTGTACACGATTATTGTTTCCATCATCGTGAAATGAGCGTTGTGGAATTGCAGTTGTCTGCCTTTGGCACTGAGGAGAGTTGATTGTTACTTCTACTCACCAATGAAGCGATCATCAGCTCTCTTTGTTCTAATTATTAAGAGGACATACCGGAATCGCAATCAAGTACAGATTATCATTAGGCAAACCTCGCCAACCTCCAGCAAGAGTCGAAGATATTTTCTCCAAATGCAAAGAAAATCTTTGTGAGTTTGTGACTTGCATTTGCGTGCATACATGAGCAAGTCATGGACCACAGCACGTGCGCGGTTACCATGCCATCTCGATCCGACGCCATCTTTCTAAGTTGCCGCTTCTTGACAGCCGTGGCCAGAGTTCTAGCCATGGGGGGGGGGGGGGCACAGCGCCCCGCTACTCTGTTTGCCCCCCCCCCTTGCGAAAAAGTGCCACCCTCCTACTCATTTTCCGATTTTTGTGTTTTTCATGCCATTCAACGAAAATGCAGTCGAAAGTCAGCAGTAGACATGCTAGAGGGTTCATAAAAGGCACATTTTGTCTGGGGTGAAGTCAGGTGTTTGCCCCGTACGTTGCATTTCGCATTCCAAGACAGTTATTTTGAAAATGGGAAAATGTATTACGGGTAACTGTTTTCCCTGCCCCCGCCCCCTACTATTTCGACCTGGCTAGAACCCTTAGCACCATGCACGAACTGATGGAGGTGCTGGTGAGAAGGAGAGCGTTGTGCCAGCGTCACCTTGCAGTGTAGAGAGTGTGTGTGGGCAGGTGTGTATTTACAACCATACGAATCAACCATAAGTACAGCTGCAGTGGAGTCTTCAACTTCAAATTAAAAAAAGGTAATTGAAAGAAAAATAAAATTGCCCGTTTCGGGATTTGAACGTAAAGTGGTCGCAATAATACTCTCTAGGGGCGTGCGCATTATGCTCAGGTGCGCGTTATACTCCGGAAAATGCGGTAATATAAATGTACGCTTGGGCGTGGTGGCGCACGCAACGGCGAATCCCATAGGCAGCGCAACACTAAAAGGGGAAAAGATAACAACAACATATTATTAGGTGGAGGTAAATGGTGACGAACTCTGCGCGCAGTGCAGCGCCAAAAAGGGGCAATGGCAGCAACACTACATGCATTACGATAAATGCATGAGGTGAAAAGCTGATAAATATGGTGGTAAAGACACACCCGGCAATATGGCGGTAAACACACGCCTGCCCACACACGCTCTCTAGGCTGCAAAGTTCTAGCACAGAGCTCTCCTTCTCACCACCAACACCATCAGTTCGCGCCTGGCGCCTGGTCGATGCATGGTTGGCGGTATCCGGCATAGCAGGCTGGTACATCAAGTAGCGCATGGCACATAGAAGATGACACAGCAACGACATAGCTCGATTGCGACGTACGTTTCGTCCCCGCTGGACTCATCAGGCAATCTTCTTCTTGGATGTCTTCATACGGAGCTTGACTCGGGTGAAAAGCTGTTCGTGTATGATGTTAAAATGTGCAAAGATATTGGCTGCCTCCAAAATTTGGACCATGTTAAGGGAAAGTGATTGTGTTGGTAGTGTGCATGAACTGATCAAGATTTTGCCATTCATTGTTTCTGTTGTAGGGCGCTCTCATGACGGTTGCAACAGCATTTGAAAGCAAGCGATGTGCTGAGTTGATGTTATCGTATGATGATGCTTCTTTGTCAGGACATTGCCCTGTCTTTGGAAATCAGTGTGGGGATTGTGAAAAGAAGGTGAGTACAGTCAACTTTGCGAACAACAGATATAGCGACTGTTTGCACCGGTATTCTCACTCACAACACAGAGTCTGAGGTTTATAGAATATTATCACTAGGAGAAGACTGTATCCATTGCAAACTAATTGTTATCACTCCCCCCTCACGTGACCGCGGACTCCTGCATATACACGCACACAATAACCACACAACTGTTTGGGGATAGCGCGCTTCTTGTATTATGCCAAACTTGACACGCTGAGTCCAGCTTGACCTCAGCTGAGTCCCTAACTGCCATTTACTGCTCTAACATGAAGCCGTGCCTGGAAGAAGGGAAAGAGCGAAAAGAAAAAAATTCTGGCTTTCTGCAAGCAATAGCAAGTAATGAGTGCCGGCTGTGTAAAGTCGCACAACCATGAAGTCGACCGGATGATGGTGAGTGTCCGGCACACCTCTTGCTCTGCTGCTCCACCTGCGCATACCTGATACCGTGGTGCGCTTACGGGCGGGCTGCCTGGGCCCCATATGCCTCCCTGATGCACCACGGGGTGCAGTCGAAGCACCTGTATCACTTCGGTGATCCAAATGCGAATGCAGCCTTGCCGGTCGCCCGCCGGCCTGCCGCCTACGCGACCAGCCTGAGACTGGCCCTGCCGCATTTGGCGCTTCTAAACGCTGCGATCCGGTAGACAGCTCACTGAGCTGCCAAATACGTGACTGGCTTGAGGACAGTTCCATACTGCACGGCAGGGCGCCCAGCTCGGTTGCACGCCGTAGCGGCGTGAGCTGGGCGCGGTGAGGGTTGGTGATAACTACAGTTTCCTCCTTCCTCCTCCGGAAACTTCCATTTATCACTCCCCCCTCACGTGACCGCGGACTCCTGCATATACACGCACACAATAACTACACAACTGTTTGGGGATAGCGCGCTTCTTGTATTATGCCAAACTTGACACGCTGAGTCCAGCTTGACTCAGCTGAGTCCCTAACTGCCATTTACTGTAGCGAGACGATAATTATAATATCAAACTGATTTAGATTGGGAGAGCATAATTATGTCGGCTACAAGAACACTGTTATCATACTGTTGACTGTTGGTTGTGGACAGACCAAACTACGTGGCGACCACCATGAGGTCTAAAGGAAAGAATAAAGAAAGGTGGCTGTGTTCCACAGCTAAACCAATGTGTGCGCACAGGCAGTAATGTGTACGCGCAGCAATACAACAAATAGAATACACCAAAAGGGGCGAAGAAGCTACAACTACATTTCTGCACTTGAAGTGTGCAAAGTAGCGTGCATGGAAGTCAATGCTGAAAGTAACGTAAACTAGCTTCCATGGAAATAGATTGTGCATGCAAGAGACACCATAAACAAGCTTATAGTACACACTGAATGGATATGGAAAGCTCGCATGTGGGGTTTATCTATATTTAGACTTAGAGCAAAACAAGCATACGTACAAGCGTGCATAGATGCGATATGGAACCTAGACATAACGGGCACAGATCCATATAGGGCGCAGATCCATACAGGACGTGGATCCATAAACGGCACAGATCCTACTTTGAAGTATAAGGGAGTTAGAGAGACATAAACTACTCAATATAATACAACAATAGTATTATACAAGAAAGATTCGCGAATGGTGGTGCCATTCGCGACACTCCGGGGCCAGGATGGCATTGACGAACCGCTGTCGTACGAGGGGGGGGGGGGCGCTTAGCTGGTGTTTCAAGGTTACTAGGGGGAACAGCAGGTGTTGAGTCTTGATGAATAGCAAGAGCAGGAGTTGAAGCGGTTGGCTGACATTCGGCGTCACACTCAAGTGGATACAGAAGTTGCAGAGGTCGGTGCAGCTCAGTTCCATCTGCTGTCGACACTATGGCAGAGCGCACCAATTCATGAGGACCAACGTGCAGCTTCTTGATACGTGCCGATTTACAAGTTGCCCTGGGGGTATTGTCACCAATTAGTGTTACTGGATCGATTCTGGGCTCGGCTTTGGAAGAGCGACTCCGGTGATGCTGTCGTCGGGTGCGTTCACGGCGCAAGCTTGACAAATAGTCAGACTGCATCTCATCGGAATTCACAGCTTTCCAGTAAGCTTCGTTCATCCCTGAGTGTGCCAGTATGAACTGTGGTACATTATCGCAAAGGAAAGGGGCTGGGGCACCACCTGGAGGCTGACTCCAGAGTTGTTTAGCTCGGTTAATTTCTGACGCAGTGACAGGACCAGATGGTGACTCAGCGGCTTTGAGTAAACTGGACAGGAAACATAGGCAGAGTGCAAACACAAGCACTAAGGTACTAAATGATGGAAACCTAGTGTAATCAATGCCAAATGGTGGGTTAATATGTGCATCAGATTTCTTTTTCTTTAGTGACAAGTTAGCTAGGCCATGAACCACTGAATCCTTTGAACCCTGATTTGGAACTTCCTGAGCTACATGTACATACGAAGGGCCCTCCCCAGACGGCAAAGCTGTAACCGTGCAGGTGTCCTTGAGCCATTCTGGAGAGACGAGAGATGAGTCTTGAAGGAATGATGCTGTGACACCACGCGATGGAAGACCTGCTGGGTTGTTTTGGACGTAGCCCACAGTGAGGTCGGGAACTGATTTGATAGCATCGACACGGTTAACGGACACGGATTGACAGAACTGGTCCACGACTTGACTATCACTACTTGAAGTTGTGGCTGTGCCGATCTCTTCAAAATTCCAAAAACGACTGATGTCAATGTCGGGCTGTGCGTCACATGAGAGAACCAAAGGACTACTCGGCTGAGTGATCTGGCAAGAGACTGGACCTGTGCGGATGAATCCGACAGTAGACTGAATAAGGATCATACCGTCACCCAAGCGGAGATGCTGATCACTAACTATGTCATAATAATGATCAAGACCAATCAGAATATCGATAGGTAAGTGTGATGCGTCAGATAGAGGCTCTGCTAGTGTAAGGCTCTTCAAGGTGGGAAGGTGTTTGGAATCCACTGGCCACTGACGTACAGGAGCGGTGATCTGTGGGTGGGTGTTGGCAACCATTGTGAAAGGTGACCCATCAGTTGTGGAAAAGGTGACGCGGACAACATCGCTGACAACCGATTTGCGTTTCTTACTACCGATCAGTAGCTTCTCCTGTCCAAGTACGGTAAACTTGGCTTTCTCTTGAAAAGACTGTGACACGAAGGATTTGTTTGAACCCGTGTCGAGGAGTAATCGGGCTTGCAGTGGTTGCTGTTCCGTACCATCGCATGTGTTCATGTTGGTCAGTGTGACAAGTGCTGTTTGCATGATTGTGTTGGAGGTAGGTGTACATACTGTTGTACATGCTGAAATTTCATCTTGCTGCTGGTCTTGTGCTGCGACCGATGTATTGGTGTGTAGTGTGTTAGTGGGTGAGGCAGCTACCCTAGAAGATTGTGGTGAGCTGACGTCACCGGCGGCTGAACCAAACTTGTCCGGGCAGAGACTACGATGGTGTTGATAACTCCGACAATGATAGCAATAGCGAGTGCTTTTGCAAGAACCAGTGCTATGGCCAGCGCCAAGACAGAGAAAGCAGTGGCCCTTGGCTTGTTTTTTCCGCGATTCGATGTCAGGGTACTCTTGGCACTCATCAGAAAAATGCGATTTTTTGCAGAACACACATTTTTTGGCAATGGATGTAGTTGCCAAGACGTGGGCTGACGAAGTGATCGGGTCACTGACTCGGCTACTGGAGGTGAAGGGACCTGAGTCGGAGGGTTGTTGAGATGATTGTCGGTCTGCAGCTTCATGGGCTACAACATACTCTCGAAGGTGAGTGCATAAGCTGGTCACGGTCCAATCCGATGAGCACTTCTTTAACTCTAGCTGGGCCAATGTGTGACGTGGTAATTTGTTGGTGATAATGGATATAAATATCGCCTGAGTGATGTTCTCACCAAGGGCTTCCAAACTGCGCATGTGGATATCCACCTGATCGATCAAGGTACGAAGTGATGTCGTCTGGTTACTGGCTGGCTGCAGATCTCGCAGTGCAGTGTAATGTGCATTGATGCATGTTTGCTTTTTACCGAAACGATCAGATAACAGTGTTTCGGCCACCTTGTAATTGGCACTGGACAAAGGCAAGCCTGCAATTGTATCGAGTGCAGGACCTTCTAAAAGACTCTTTAGGTAAGAGAATTTCTCAACGTCAGACAGGTTACGGGAAGCAATCGACGCCTTGAACATGTCGCTGAATTCAAACCACTTAAGTATATCTCCAGAGAATTTTGGGATGTGCAACTTTGGCAGGCTTGTTGTATGCTGTTGAGGTGTGCTGCTGCCTGGCATGTTCTGTGTTAGAACTGTCGACTGGCTTTGCTGTATGTATTGCTGTTGTTGATTTGCCATGGCTGTTTGGGCAGCAATGAACGACTGTGTTTGCTGTTGTGTGGTTTGGCTAATTTGGATTAGCTGCTTAATTCGCTGTTCAATTGCATCAGATTGAGTGGCAGAACTGCCATCAGCTCTAGGTTCAGACTTGACAGAAGTGGATGGAGTACTCTGTGAGGACAGGTGAAGAGATCGTCTGAGTGTTTGAGCAGTTCTGCTCCATAGGATTGAGCTGTCTGAATATGACGAGATCTCACTCATTCTGTCCTCCTCAGAGTCCTCCAGATCCAATGATTCTAATGCGCTAGCAACATCTTCACAAGCATCATCATATGCACATAAATCTAGTTGCACAACTTCTAACAAATTACTTAGCTTTTGTTGATATTCGGAAACAGCGCGCGCTGAGTCACTATGGTCACTGTCACTGGTCGTCGTTTCGATTTCACTAGCGAGCACCTCAGCGTCTACGAGACTCTTCTCGATGTCGGTTTTCAACTTGCGTAGTTTACTCCGACGTAAATAGAGGGTACCAGAAAACTTAGGTCCTGGCATGATCCCGGGTTTCGGCACCAGTTTGTAGCGAGACGATAATTATAATATCAAACTGATTTAGATTGGGAGAGCATAATTATGTCGGCTACAAGAACA